AAATAATTCATGCTGAATCTATAATGAAACATCAAGAACATACCCCCACCCAAAAAAACTGCATGAATATTGTTAGCTCTGTGATGAATTGCTTTTGTTCCTCTATTGTAAGTCACTTTGGAAGCATCTGCTAAATGTATAAATTTAAATTATATTTTTCATAAAGAAGCTTATTTTTATGATTTGCACATTGATAAAAATTTAAAATGTATTTTATATTTTTATGACATTTAACAACAAATTCTTAGAACAAAAAAATACGAATAGTACATACAAATACTAACATGACAAATCTGTACAAATTACCATAATTTTTTATTACAGTAATGAGAATGTGATCACTATGTAAGCTTATATCGAATAAAAAATAAAAAAAGGTAATTGTGACAATCTCACAATTCATATTTGTTTTTCTTGTAAATCTGAGATTTAAATTGTGTGATATAAACTCAGAATTGCGTGAAAAAAAGATGTGTAAGACCAAAAAGTTTAAATTCCCTTTTTAATTATTTTTTTTTAATTCTGTGGTAGTAATAAAAACAACTAAATTGTAAACTACAATTCTGAGAAAACAGTCCAAATTATGAGATATAAACTCTAAATATAAATTGTGAGATAAAAAGTCGCAATTTCCTTTTTATTATTATTATTTTTCTGTGGTGGAAACAAGCATTCAGAGATATCGGTTTCATTACATCACAAGAAGTTTTAAAGTAATTGCTATGAAACTAATGTCTCAATGCAACAAAAGTCTTCTAGGTCTTAAGATAGTCTTCACTAACTTTATGCAAAAGACAGTTATTTATTTTGTTTTGTTTTGTTGCTGTTCTGTATCTGAATGTTGAGGGAAGCTGTCAGTCTGGATTCTCCTCCCGCAAACACAAACACTCTCAGACTAATGTGATTTCCTGCCTCATTCATGGAGTAATTCCTTAAAGAAACAAATTACGGCCCTGAGCGGCCAAGAGCAGGAGACAGCAGACAGAGACGCACAGAACCAAACACACGCTTCACTGCGCTCACTGACCTCTAAGCTGCGCTTAGTTTGTTTGCTCTGAAATACCTCACCAGTGCATTCAGTACTGACACAATACACACGGTTTAACTCCAGCATTCATCAGAGCTTTAGTCTGGATCAGATGCATGTCATGTGTGTTGTCTGATTACAGGACGGTGCTGTGACTCACTCTGACACATGCTGAGCCTGAGATCTAGTAGAGGAGTTATGCTGAGTTTGAGATGAGAAAGTGTGCCTGTAGTTTCTTGGAGAATGACCAGTGCTCATCTGAGGTAAGAGGTCAAACCACGACTTCCTCTTGTCCCAGATGCTTCCTCGAATGCATGTACATTCATGCATTTGGCAGATGCTTTTATTTAAAGTGACTTACACTGGATTATAGATAAGCATTTTACTAGTTCATACATTCCCGGGGAATCAAACCCAAGTACTAGGTTTGACTACATACATAGATGTCACTTTAGACATTTTATAATCATAACTGCATCTAATTTTACCGTTTAATGTATAAATATATACATTAAAAATATATAATATCAAATATATTTTTTATAAATTATATTTTATAAAATAAAATGATTACATTCTAAAATAATTTTAATATAATTTCTTGAGTCATTTTTTATTAACAGCAAGCAATCAGCTGTAGACTCTTTTTACATAAATATGAACATACAGGTACATAAATAAATATAGAATGTCTGCAATAAAGCGTTTAATGTATGTTATATTCTACAGTTGGTGTTAATTACAATAAACATGACTTTTTATACTATAGAATGTTTTTAATGGCTCGTGAAATCATACATCTGTAGTTATGATTTGAAACTGTCTTAGCGCCTAAAAACCATAGACTGACAGCTAAAAACGCGTGGAAAACGCTAGGCGCGCCGCTTTCTGCTTTTTTCCAAAGCGTTCTGGCGCTTGCGCTCCGGAGGCGTCTGCCGTTGCTAAGCAACCATGACCTGCGCTCTCCATGAAGACGCGGACGTTTCAGCAAAGGATAAATGGATTTGCAGCACTAAAAATCGCTTGCAGTAGCTCTGCTACTAAATTTATTTAAAAATGGCTATCCCTGTACAGCTATGATCAGCTGTTCCTTCATCTTGGCTGAGCTTTCAATAGGTGCGTTCGACTTCATGCGGCGCCGCGCAAACCGATCGCCGGCTGACTTGAAGCAGTGCATGCCCGTTAGAAATTTTGTCCGACTTGAATCGGCGCCGACGCACGTCACTGTCACGTGTGGCATCAAAGTACCGCGATAGCGTTTCGAGAGCAGCTGGCTCCCTCTGCTGGCCCAGCTTTTTCAGAGCGACTGCAGGAGCGCTGATGACGACACAGCTGTTTGAGATGGGGCCAGATTCACCGCATGACAACTATCACGTGTGTTTCGGGTTTATTCTAACCTT